TCTCATGAATAAATAAATAAATAATCCTAAAAAAAGTCAGCAATTAAAAAAAAAAAACAGAAAGAAATCAACTTAACTGCATTTCATATGAAAACTATAATCATACCCAAGAGGGAAAAAAGGATTAACCCAATTAACTTTTGAACATAATACTTATACTACATTAAACTGAATGAAAAACTATATATGTTACTTTGAGACAAAAAATAGCTATAAACAAATATGGAATTCTAGTTTGAAATATTTTCATTTTTTAAAATGGATTAACAATTCTGAAACTACTTCCTATGTACTGTGGGTTGGACAAATGAGTAAACATATTAAAGGTAATGACAGCCAGGTTTCTCATTGTTGAAGCTGAGAGTTATAAATGCAGAGAGGGGGAACACCAGAATGAATTCTGTTGTGCTAAAATGGATTGGGGATATCAATGTGAACTACGTTTTAATATAAAGATTTAGATGTGTGTATATATAAATAGGTACGTATGTATGTATGTACTTATATGTATTTTTTGCAGGCTCAGTTAACTAAAAGGGTTCAAGCAAATGCACCCAGATTTTGGTTTCTAAATACCATTCTCCACTAAAAGGACCCAGGGATCCAGGGCTCACTGTTGGTCAGAAAGCAAGGAAGTAACAACAACAAAAAAATGGTGGAGACATACCAAAAAGATATAGAGCCACCTTTAGCATTGAAATAAATAATAGTAATAACAGAATATTCATGGAGTAAAATAAGCATAAACGGGGGTATCCTGATATAAGTTAAGTGAATGAATGAGAAAGGAAAGCTCTCCCTTATGGTAGTAGACTACTAAGTAATAAATGTAGGAGAAATGATGGAGTGAAAAAAATTGCCATTTTGCATTCATCATAATAATAATCTCTTCAGTCATAAATCCGCATTGGATTCTGAAAATCTGTGGGTGCAAGTTCAATGGAGAAAGGATATCTATATAATTTCAAAGTATCTGCTTATAGATTACTTATTACAAAGGGAAAAGTCACTTTACTGTGAATTAACCCAGTAAACACTACACCTTAACTCAAGTTAACATTACCAATAAATGGAACGTTGACATCACTGATTTTCTGATATGATACCCTTAAAAAGACATGTCTTTCCTGTGATGTTTTAGCCAAACACTATTGAATCTAAACATAAGGTTATATCGAAAAACACAAACTGAGGTCTGTTCTAAAAATAACTTATTGTGAAGAAAAGCTGGGGCACTTGGGTGTCTCAGTAGTTGAGCATTTGCCTGTGGCTCAGGGCATGATTCCAGGGTTCTGGGATGGAGTCCTGCATGGGGCTCCCCATGGGGAGCCTGTTTCTCCCTCTGTCTCTGCCTCTCTTTCTGTGTCTCTCATGAATAAATAAAATCTAAAAAAAAAAAAAAAAAAGCTGAGGAACCATACTAGATAGAAGACTAAAGATATATCACAACTAAATGATGCTGGATGAGACTCCAGACAGGGTTACAGGGGAACATAGCAATGATGGATATTATTGTACAAATGGTGAAATTTGAATACAAACTGTGGGCTAGATCAGTTTCCCAAATATTCTTTGTTCAAAGTGCCCTTAGTATCTCAATTTTTTTCAGTGTTCCTTGGTCAAAGGAAATATCCAGGTCCAAACAACATATTATTTATGTCCTGACAATTTAGTTGCCATTTGAAAAAATAATACACATAAATTGAAAGCTTTTTATTTCATCTGAACCACAATGGGATTTGTGTGCCTGTTGGGCATTGCACAATTTTTCAAACCTTGGAATCAGATTGGACAAAAGCACCCTCATTTCCTGCTTCACATTGATTTTGGTGCCGTATTTGCTTTTTCATCACAACCCCTGAAAAATCCAGCTTCCCAAATATGTGACATATCCAAGGAATATGGTGCCACCTATTGTTGAAATTGTACATGACCTTGAGCTAATAGTTTTCATTTTGTTTGCCTTGAAAACTTACAATGTAAAATATCCCATAGATATCCCCTTGGGTAACCCGGTGAGGATGTGGAGCACTCCAGTGCACAGTTTGAGAACCATAGGATTAGATAATAATGTTCTTGTTACAATGTTACAGTTCCTGATTTTGATAAATATACTACTGCTATGTAAGAGAAAAGTCCTTCTTCTTAGGAAATAAACATACACTGAAGTATTTATGGTATTAAAGAAACATGTCTGCAAATTACTGTCAAATTATTTAGGAAAAAAAGTGTGTGTATATATATGGATAGTGAACACAAGTGATATAGTAAATGAGGCAAAATGTCAATACTTGATGAATCTGGGTAAAGGATATACACAATTTTTGCCCTATTAAACTTTTCTGAGTGAAATTACTTCAAAATAAAGATTTTTTAAAATGCAGCACAATAGTCTACATTTTAAGGTGTATATACATATGTAGTAAAAACAATTTTTTAAATGCCTGTTAATTAAAAGCACCAATTCAGATAGTTGCAAACTTTTATGAAGAGGAAGGATGGATGTATTGGGAAAAACTACGTATAGTATCAGTGATATTTTATTTGCTAAGCTATATGATGGATGGATAGGTATTCATTATATTATTCGTTATACCTTTAACGGTGTCTAAAATATATCATAATTTAGTTTAAAAATATTCACTTAAAATATGTAGTCTTTAATACATAAAAATAAACATGAGTACAAGAAAACATAGGGCTATTTACTGGGAACTACCATGTACTTCATGTGCATTATCTCCTGCAAGTCTTACCCTCACCGCGTGCCCATCTTATGCCAGCATAAAGTATAACAGGGCTGACTCCAAAGCTCATGTTCCTAATCCCTACCTTCCAGGGTTCACACTATACACAGCTAATGCATACTTCTTTTTTTAAAATTTTTTTTATTTTTAAAGATTTATTTGAGAGAGAGAGAGAAAGCGAGAGAACGAGTGATGGGGAGGAGCAGAGGGAGACACAGAAAACATAAGAGAGAAGCAGACTCTCTGATGAGAAGGAAGCCCAGGGCTGGATCCCAACAACTGGAGATCATGACCTGAGCTGAAGGCAGATGCTTAGCCAACTGAGTCACCCAGGCACCCCTACACTTCTTTCTTCTTTGTGCATTAGAGCCTGGAAAAGAAAGGGGTGGGGAGAACCTGGAAAAAAAAAAAAAACTGGAAAAGAAAGCTAACTTTCTTGCTTTCTCTATTCCGAATTAATTTAACACACCTAGCAGAAAATATGGCTATACACTTTCAAACCTCACAAATATCAATATGAAAAAATGGTAATAAATTTTAATCTTTGGCCTGTTTTACTGCCCATATGCTCAATAGTATCATACCTCATCAGTCTTTTACTAAGTGAAGATTTGACATTTTGCAATTGTTCTTCCATAAGACCAGTTCTATTGCAGGGCCAAAGGTGAACTAGCAAAGAAATAGACGTTTGTTGATTTATTAAATTATTCTGAGAGATCAGCATCTAGATTTGTGAAGAATCAGTATAAATTCAATTATTTTGAACTTTAAAATATCAAAATCCTGACCAGGACTTGTATTTCATGGTCGTAAAAAAAATCTTAGAAGCTTCATTAAACTAAGATTTATTACTTGTTCATTATAAATACAACCCGGAGTAAGCTTTCTTAAAAACCGTGTCTTTAAGACAAAATGTTTGAAAATCCGACTCAATATTGCTAAGAAATGTTGAAGCTTTATTCAGTATCTCCCTGCAATGTGTATTTCCTTTAGAATATTGAAAGCTCTGTGAAAACGAAAATGATGCTACTTTTGCCCTCGTAATTTACTGGGAGGTTGGGCAGCCGTTCTTTGTCAGGGCACTTAACATTTCTCAAGTTCTATTTAACTTCTGTAAATCAAGAAAATCAAGATTTTTTTAATCACTCAAAAAATTACTCTTCCTCTGTTTTTGTTGTTGTTTTCTTAATCCAAGCAGATGCTTTTCTCATCCCCTGGAACAGAAAATTGGTTATGTTAGGATTCATGATTATTCTACTATCATATTCCAGTTACAGGGAGGGTGAGCAAAAATGATGGGGTTGGGACGCGCGGATGGCTCAGATGGTTGAGCGTCTGCCTTTCGGCTCAGGTCCTGGGACCGAGTCTCGCGTCCAGCTTCTTGCTCTGCGGGGGGGGGGGGGGACTGCTTCTCCTCCCCCACCCCCCGCGTGTTCTCTCTCCCTCTCAATTAAATAAAAAATAAAAAAAAAATAAATGATGGGGTTAAGTTTGAATGTGAATGGGAGCGAGAGGAAAATGAAGGAGCCAACAGCCACAAGCACTCACACCCCATTTAACTGGAAGAGTCTAAGAAATGTCTAACGTGAGCTTTCTTCCTACACATAAGGATCACTTAATAGAAGACCAATGACTCCACTAAAATCCGTTTTTACTCCCAATAGACAACTTTTTTTTTTTTTTTTTTTTTTTTAACGACAGGAACGGGATTCAGATGTCGCCTAACGCCTCTGTTCCAGAACCAGAGCCCCGACTTCCCTCCACTTCCCCCGGCTCCCCCCGCAAGTCCGAGCAACAGAAACGTAGTATGGGGAGGCGGGGTGGGGGGTAGCGTAGACGCGCCCAGAGGGACCTTTAGAATTCAGGGGAAAACCACCCCAAACACACCATAGTCTGCGAGTCTACGGGCCTGCGCCCACAGCTCCAAACACTCCCAGCCCGAGATCTGCCCCGAACCAACACGTTTCTACCAGTCGCTGCAAACGTCAACAAACGCCGCCGGCCCGCGCCCTCGCACCCCACCCGCACTCTCCCTGGCAACAGCCGCCCCTCAACGCCGACTTCCTGCCGAGGGACTCGGCCCCGCGCGGAGGCGCGACTCCCGGGAACCGGTAACCAAAACCGCGTCTCCCGAGCCGGGTGATGACGTCACGCCGCCCCTCTCTAGCATCGCGAGACTCTCTTCTCCCACCCCCAGTTCCCAGCGCTCCCGACCGCCCGCGCCGGCTGCTAGGCAGCGGCGGGGATGGCGAGCCGCGGGGCCGGGGCGGTGACGATAGCAGCGGTTCCGCCATTGGACGAGGAGGCCTGAGGGACGGGCCAGCCTAGTGAGCGAGGAGATAGCGAGGCGGGTGGCCCCGAGAGAGCGAGGGCAATGGAGGCCAACATGCCGAAACGGAAGGAACCTGGCAAGTCCCTGCGCATCAAAGTCATCTCCATGGGCAACGCTGAAGTGGGAAAAGTGAGTACCGCGCCGGGAGGGGCGGGACCTCAGCACGGCGGGGCGACGTGCCGATTGGCTGCGACGGCGGCCACTCAACAGCCCGCGGCCCAGCCTCCTCCCCGCCCCTGAGCAGGCCGGGGTCTCCTCCTAGGGGATGCGCCTCCCGAGGAAAAACACTTCTGACCTTTTTGACCTTTGGGTTGCCCCCCCTCCTCCTTCTCTGACGTCACTCTCCTTAAGGAGGTGCCTCATGTGACCGCTAACCCCTTGAATGTCCCCCCCAAAGAGTAAGGAGGCCTAGGTCCTTATGTCAGATCGTCTGCCTAGCTACCCTGTCCGCGTCCTAGGTGACCTGTCCAGGACTTAGAGGTGGAGAATAAAAGTTTACTTATCCCAGCAGTTCTTGGCAGCCTAAGGGAACTCACGGGGGTGCATGTGAGGGTCGGAGTTTGTAAATGTTACTCTGCAGACAAGGAGCCCAGAATCTATTTTAAGAGCGTAACTGATGGTGACGTGTTTCTCAAGGGAAGTGCGGTGGATGTCAAGGAGCCTGCATTATTTTTTGTGTATTGGCTTTATTTTTATTTCTGGTAATGTCGTCATATCCATTCTGTCAAAGCCTTAGTTCCACCGCCTTTCTCTCTGCTGGATCTACTGGGTATCTGCTATAAGCTCTCCCGCATTGGGGGTGGGGGGAGGGGAGGAGGGTGGACAGAGGAACCAGAGGCCTTCTCCCAAGTGAATTCTAAACTGTCTGCTTTTCACCCAAATTATCTTCCTTTCTAGGGAAGTGGAAGCTATTGGTTAAGAACCTCCCAAAGATCATCAAATCAATGACAGAGACAGGATTAGAACTTGGATCTTTCTTTCCATCATTGTATGCTGTGAAAATCGACTCCAAGTAGGAACTATATGCCAAAAGAGCTGTTAATGCAAGTGTTTAGGCCAGTGCCTTGCACGTAGTTGATGCTCAGTAAATGTTTATTAGTGTCATTTCTTTCCATTTAGCAATGTCCGGTACTATTTTAATTATGTATCTGTCTGTATGTATGTAAGTATTAATGTAGCAGTCCCTGAAAGTCAACATTTATTGAACATCAAATATGTGCCACGCATTAAAAAGTAAAGAATAAAGCCTCTGAAAGGTTCAATAGTAAGCTGGCTAAGTAATCATGCATCACTTTTTAATTTTTTATGCTTAACAGTACAACATTAAAAATACCCCAAAATGCCCAGTGTCACATTTATTTGGCACTTGTTTAGTGTTTAGATTTATTAGCCAATGCAATTAGACAAAAGAAAAAAATAAAATATGAAATGCTGGAAAGAAGAAGGCAAAATTATTGTCATTTGCTAGTGATATGATTATTTATCTGGAAACCCAAAGAGAATTAACTGAAAAGCTTTTAGAAACAATAAGAAGGGATCCCTGGGTGGCTCAGCGGTTTAGTGCCTGCCTTTGGTCCAGGGCGTGATCCTGGAGACCCGGGATGGAGTCCCACATCAGGCTCCCCGCATGGAGCTTGCTTCTCCCTCTGCCTGTGTCTCTGCCTCTCCCTCCCTCTCTCTCTCTCTCTCTCTCTCTCTCTCTCTGTGTGTGTCTCTCATGAATAAATAAATAAAATCTTTAAAAAAAAGAAACAAGAAAATTCAGTAAGGCAACATTAATATACAAAAAGTAGCTTTAATGTATCAAATGATATGGGACACCTGGGTGGCTCAGCAGTTGAGCATCTGCCTTCGGCCCAGGGCGTGATCCTGGGGTCCCAGGATTGAGTCCCACATCGGGTTCCCCACAGGGAGCCCGCTTCTCCCTCTGCCTGCGTCTCTGTCTCTCTCTGTGTCTCTCATGAATGAATAAATAAAATCTTTAAAATATATATATATCAAATGATATGTTTTAATATATAATTGAGAAATTATTTAATTTACAATAACAGCCAAAATAAAGTACCTAGGTTTAAACTTAAGAAGAAATAGGTAGGACCTAAATGAAGAAAAATTTCAAGCTCTACAAAGTGACATAAAGTTACTTAGGCAAATGGGAAGATATACTTTCTCCTTAATAAGACTACTCAACATTTTAGGGATATCAAATCTTTAAAATAATCTACAAATGTAATTCAGTCCTATTAAAATACCAACAGGGTTTTTTCCTTTCAAAATTCATAAAAGGTACTAAAGTCCTTATGAAAATAATGTGAAAAAAATTAAATGTGAAAATAACCAAGAAAACTGTGGAAAAAAGAAAACACTACCAGATAATAAAACCTATTTTAAAATTACCAAACTTTTCCTATTGGTGCTGGAAAGGGCATAGAGATACATCAGTGGAACAGACTGGAGTCGAGAAATAAATCCAAACACATAAGGAAATTCAATTTACAACAAATGTAGTAAAGTGGTGGGAATGTAGGGACCATTTAATAAGTACTGTTGGAACAACTATTTACTATTTGGGAGTGAGGTAGATTCCTTTGGCATTGCTTTCTCAGAAATGAATTTTAGATGAACCACAGATTTAAATGTAACTTGGAAAAAAATACCATTTTGTTGGGCCACCCGGGTGGCTTTGTTGCTTAAATGTCTGACTCTTGATTTTGGCTTAGGTCATGATCTCAGGGGTCATGAGATCCTGCCCCATGCTGGGCAAAGAGCCTGCTTAAGATTCTCTCTGTCCCTCTCCCTTTGGCCCTTCCCTTCAAAATGCTCACTCTCTCTCATTAAAAAAAAAAAAAAAAAAAAAAAAAGCCTTAGTTATACTTAGTTATAAAAGTAGCACCATGCTCATTTTAAAGAATGTGGAAAATGAAAAAAAAAAAACAATGTGGAAAATGTAGAAAGATAAACAATTTTAAGTTAAAAATTAAGGCATGGGGGGATCCCTGGGTGGCTCAGCGGCTTAGCACCTGCCTTCAGCCCAAGGCGTGATCCTAGAGTCCCGGGATTGAATCCCACATCAGGCTCCTCGCATGGAGCCTGCTTCTCCCTCTGCCTGTGTCTCTGCCTCTCTCCTCTCTCTCTCTCTCTCTCTCTGTCTCTCATGAATGAGTAAATAAAATCTTTAAAAAAAAAAAATTAAGCCATGCCCTAGTAAATAATCTTTGGGTCAAAGGGCCAATCAAAACAAATGACAAAATAACTAGAAAGCAATGCAAGGGAGAGAATCTATACTGAAACCCTCCTAACAAAATTAAAGCTGTAGTGAAAGGAAAACACATTATCATTCATTTCTAAAGAAGAGAGAGAAAAACTAAAGGAACTTAATGGTTTTACAACTTTGTGAGTTTACTAAAACCACTGAATTGTATATCTTAAAAATGTGAATTTTGAGATACGGTTTATCTCATTTTAAAAGACTACCTAGTGGGGATCCTTGGGTGACTCAGCAGTTTAGCGCTTGCTTTCAGCCGAGGGTTGGATCCTGGAGATCCTGGATCAAGTCCCACGTTGGGCTCTCTATATGGAGCCTGCTTCTCCCCCTGCCTGTGTCTCTGCCTCTCTCTCTCTCTCTCTCTGTCTCTCATGAATAAATAAATAAAATCTTAAAAAAAAAAAAAGGACTACTTAGTACCTAAGACATTAGAAAAAGGTCACAAGATAAACCAAAAGTTTTGGATTTTGAGAATTAGTTAATGAGAGTCAATAAAAAAAAAGAAAAGTGCCTAAAAAATCTATTTAAGAAAAATAGAAACAAAAAATGACAAAATTAGTACTGAAAGGGAAACATAATTACATACCAGAAGAGATTAAAAGACTGACTAGAGAATATTGCATTCTAATTCTATAGAAGCACATTTGAAAATGTAGAGGAAATGGAGGACTTCCTAGCAAAATATAAATTACCAAAATTGACTTGAAAAGAAGTAGAAAGCCCAATTGAGGGATGCTTGGGTGGCTCAGCAGTTGAGAGTGCCTTTGGCTCAGGGTGTGATCATGGTCTGGGGATCGATCCTGCAGCAGGCTCCCTGCATGGCACCTACTTCTCCCTCTGCCTATGTCTCTGCCTCTGTGTGTGTGTGTGTGTGTGTCTCATGAATGAATGAATGAATGAATGAATGAATGAAAAAAATAAATAATCTTTTTTAAAAAATCATTCTTTTCCCCTTAACCTTAAATATCACCTTGGTCACTTTTAAAATTTCTTCTTTTAATGAGATCTATTTCTGGGCTCTCTGTTCTGTTCTACTGACCTATTTGTCTAATCTTATGCCAATATAATACTGTCTTGATTGGTTTCAGACTATATTTTAATCTATTAAGATGGGTTCCCTCCTCTTTCCACTGCCCTGTCCCATTCCTCTTTTTCATAATTTGATTATTTCTTCCCAAACAGTTGTTCTTTCATATGAATTTTAGGATTATTCTATTTAAAAAAGAGGCTCAAACCTGTTAAGATTTTAATGAAAACTGCATTAAAAAAAGAAAAGTACCTAAAAGTCTATTTAAGAAAAATAGTGAAACATTCTCTCTGTATTTATGTTATTTAACTTAGCTTAAAAGATCCTAAGTGCCAGGAACCCTGTCTATTTGTGTTTTAGGGATAGTTATTAATACAATTACTTAAATGTGTGTCTTGTGAAACACTTAGAACTAGTGTTTAGTGTACTGGAGTTAAAGGGCTGCCGAACCCCTTAATCTTATGAATAATTTAGAAAAAGGCTATATTCATTTTCCCAGGCTATTGTGAGAGAAAGTATTTGTGAAGTGCATTCAAGCTATAAAATGTTTTAAAAGTAGAGCCTCTTAGCAGTAGTCACTCAAAGAAATTTTTCCTTCAGTTCACAATAAGCTTATTAACTGCTTTTTAAATTAACTGTCCTATTTAATTTAGGTTCACCTTCATCAGGGAAGGATTTGAGCAGAATAAACTCCATTACTAGCGCTCCCAAGTAAATTATAAGTTTCGTGAGTGCTAAAGGTTATTAATATGCAAGTCTTCTAAAATTGGTTTTCCCTGGCACTAAGCAAATTTCATTGGCATGAACAAAAGAGAGAAAGAAGTAAAATACTGATGTTTGTTATCCTCAAATAGTTTACTGTCTAGCTAAAGAGAGAAGGTAAATATACACATGTGAAATGATAACTAACAAAGCAATATATGAGTGCTGGTGTGCGTGTGTGTATGTGTAATATATGCATACATGTTAGTATGCATGTAAAGTGTTAAAAGAGTTCAGATGCAGAAAAGATCTCTTACAACCTGGAGCTCAGAGTTTGAGCTGGGTCTTAAAGGTTAAGTAAGACTTGTAAAGAAGGGAGTAGTACTTTTCCAAGAAGAGGGAAAAGTAATGACAAAAGTCAGGAAATCGGGTCTCTGGGAGTTTTGCAGAAATGGAGAGTTTATATTAGAAGGGTTCAGACAGGGAACACAGATTAGGCCCAGATTATGGAGAACCTTGAATAAAGGACAAAGGAATTCGGATTTTAAACCTAGCAATGAGAAGCCACTGAAGACTTTTGAGTTAGGGAAGTGAAATAATGTCAGTGGTGTGTAGTATTGACTGCAGTTGGGAGGAAAGGAAAGCAGAAAGACCAGAAAAGAATTTCTTGTAGCTGTCTAGGAGTAGATGATGAGGATCTAAATCCAAATGATGTCAGTGGGAATTGGAATGGGGAGAAAGAAACAAGAAACATTTGGAAGATTTAGAAAGGCTCAGAATCAAACATGGCTTTAATATTCTGATCCTCTGTAGTAGGGAAAATAGTGGTGTTATTAACAGAACAGGGATGTCAGCAGGATGAACTGATTTTATGTATAGGATTAGTTCATTTTGGGACATATTGAATATGAGGTAACAGCAGGACACCTAAGTAGAAACTAGTCTTAGTATTTTAAGTTGTAGATCTGCTTTTGAGAAGGGAGGTCAGACATTTAGACAAATGTCTAAACATAGATGTTTTGGTGGTATTGTTGAAAGCATGAGTAAATCTTCAAAAGAAAGGAGCACAAGGATCAAGAAATAAACTGAAACATGTTTAGTATTAAGGGAAGAATATTTAAGTAATTTTTCTTTAAAATTTTCACTTTTAGCATTTGTTTTCTCGGGATGCCTGGCTGGCTCAGTGGTTGAGTGTCTGCCTTCGGCTTAGATCATGATCCTGGGGACCTGGGATCCTAGGGTCCTGGGATCAAGTCTCATATCAGGCTTCTGGCAGGGAGCTTGCTTCTCCCTCTGCCTATTTCTGTCTCTCTCTCTCTCTCCTGTATAAATAAATAAAATCTTTAAAAAAAAGAAAATGCTTTCTCTTTCATTGTGATGAATGATGAAACTGTAATGAAGAATTGTGCTCATTTTGTATGTTTCCAGAGTATATTTACTAAAAGCATGTATTTTTCTTTGCCTTTTTAGAGCTGTATTATAAAACGGTACTGTGAGAAAAGATTTGTGTCTAAATACCTTGCAACAATTGGAATTGACTATGGAGTCACAAAGTAAGTACATTGTTTCTTTGGACTTGTAAATTATATAGACTTGGGCTGTTCTAAAATGATACATCTTGAAATAGAGATTCTGAAGATAAATCAGGGAAGATAGGAATGAGACCATTACAGATAAGGTAGTGATCATATAATTTGTTCATCACTGAGCACATTCTTTTTGCCAGGCCTTGCCTTAGGTGTAGGGTCTACAAAAATGAGGAGGTCAAAAGCCTAACTGGCAGATGAACCTTTTTAGGAAACATGTTCTATATAAACAAATCCTATTAGCAGATGTTTGTAAAGCATCATAGTAAAAATAATAGATACCAACTCCATCCTTCCTGTTTCTAACATAGTGAAGCTCAAATTCCAGCATGCTGAGAAGTACTTTAAGAGTTTGTAAAAATGCAGATTCCTGGGACCCGTCCACTAAGAGTCTCATTTGTCAGGTCTGAAGTGGGGCACAGGAGTCTGCATTTTTAACAGCCTTGGGTAATAATGATGCAGGTCGTCTCTAGGCCATAACCTAGGAAAGCATGACCTTGAGGTAAAAAAGTACCATTTCTCTTAAGGTAATTTCCTGTCTGGCATCTGAATTAAATTAACCTCTTTGAGTTTTAGTGTGTAAATACATTTGTGTTCATTCCCGACTTCATAACCTTTAGTTACATCCCCTCTCAGCTGCTCTCTCTTTAAAGCAAAATTTTCTAATATAAATTGTTATGCCAGATCTTCTCCAGATGCTCTTAGACTGTCGTTATTTTGTTTAGCTGTTCTTACATCCTCTTTTATAAGATGGATCCTGATTTCACAGATGTTAAAATGAAAACAAATATGTGTCTTAGAATTGCTGAAATGTGGTAGAGAATTCAGGAATGAAGAAATGATTAGTGGTTAGCTTGATTTAAATCTACAAGTAATATAAAACAACTGTAGGAATTATGGTTTCAGAACAGAAAATGGAGGTTATAAATGTGAACAAGGGAATAATAATAATAATAAATAAACCAGGAGGTAGCATAGGAACAATGAGAGTGAGTACTGATGTCCTTGTATTCTGTAGGAGGGAGTCATGTCAATGCTGTCTAAACTGAAATATGTCACTTAAGAGCATGATTCTAACCTGTTATTGTTAATAATTCCTATTCTTAATTTAGAGGGGTCTTTTAGGAAATACATCTTGTGATGAGGAATTCTAGTTTACTTCAGTTTCTTTTTCTTTTATTCAATTCAATAATGAGTAACTTTTATACTTTTTATTTTAAAATAGCATAATCCCATTTTTATGAAAATACTTATGTTTATCAGTCATATCTATGCATGAAAGAAGACTGCAGTGAGGTTCATATATATTGACAAAGGTTCTTTTTCTGAGTCATAGGATTTGGGACAAATTTTAAACTTCCATCTTTGTATTTTTCTTTAACATTTGAAATACAATATTTCATTAATTTATTTTCCAATAGTGATTTTTCTTGAAAAAAATAAAAGGACAAGATGCAAATATGCTACAATGATGGACAGTATTTAAAATTTCTAATACAAATGGGTGTTATTTTCCCTTTTTGTTCTTTATTTAAAATTTTTTGAAAACAAGCGGACTGTTGCTCTTGTTCAGTGAAAGTCACACAGACTTTTTTTTTTTTTAAGATTTTATTTATTTATTCACGAGAGAGAGAGAGAGGCAGAGACATAGACAGAGGGAGAAGCAGGCTCCATGCAGAGAGCCCGACGTGGGACTCCAGGATCATGCCCTGGACCAAAGACAGGCGCTAAACTGCTGAGCCACCCAGGCGTCCCTCACACAGACTTTAATAAAATACACCTTAGTGGGCAGCTCCGGTGGCCCAGTGGTTTAGCTCCGTCTTCGGCCCAGTGTGTGACCCTGGAGAACCGGGATCAAGTCCCATGTCGGGTTGACAAGCTGCTGAGTTGCTAGCTTCTCTTGTAACGATTATCTGGAATCAAGAAGAGGTGCTAAGAAAGCCTCTTTTAAATTTTCTACACTAGGGCAGCCCTGGTGGCTCAGCGGTTTTGCGCCACCTTCGGCCCAGGGAGTGATCCCGGAGTCCCAGGATTGAGTCCCATGTCAGGCTCCCTGCATGGAGCCTGCTTCTCCCTCTGCCTGTGTCTCTGCCTCTCTCTCTCTGTGTGTGTGTCTCTCATTAATAAATAAATTTTTTAAAAAACCTTAAAAAAATAAATTTTCTACACTACCTTTTTAAATTCGTAAGTGACATAAATGATATGAATGGGAATGCAGAAGCCATAACCTTCTTTGGAATTGTTTGCATTTGAACATTTCAGAGTACAAGTCAGAGACAGAGAAATCAAAGTTAACATCTTTGATATGGCTGGCCATCCCTTCTTCTATGAGGTAAGAAAGCCTTTTTGGGAAAACTTGTATCCAGTATTATCAGTGGATTAGGGAAAGATCCTGAGCTATCTGAAACAACCAGTATGTGAATCATGTATAAAATTAGGTGAATTTAGCTGCTGTTTATGGCTTCCTTTCTGAGCCTTAACTAAATGGAAACCTGTTGGTCTTTTGTTCCATCCCCTTAAATAGTGATAGGAAATTTCATCACTAATGTATCAAACACATAGATATGACTTTTTAACTTTCAAAGGACTGTTGCTTTATACTTTATACCTTAGCCCAGAATGTGAAAGGATAATTATATTCACACTTGGACTTAAGAATTCAGCAATGTGACTTCTTTCATTGCAAGGTACTAGCGTGATCTTTCCAGTTCACTCCTCAGCCTTATGTGTTATCTTTCCGGAGAGAACCCCACCTGGTTTACTTTTGTCTGCCATCCATTCTGAGAAGTCTCAAAATAATCTCAAAGCCATTCTCTTTTGTTTTTCCTTCCTTGGGTTTTTCATTTTCCCTGAGGAGGCTCTTAGTTCTTTTCTAGTTTGGCCATTTGACTTCTGCTTTTATCTTTTATTTCCTCCTTTCTGCTTGCTTTGTGTTTCTTTTGCTCTTGTTCTGGGTTCTTTCAGATGGGAGCTTAGATTATAGATTTGAGACTTTCTCCTTTTCTAATGTGTGCATTTGTTGCTATCAATTCTCCTCCCAGCACCATTTCTCAGTGTCCCACACATTTTGATATGTTGTATTTTCAATTTCATTTATATTTCATTTTATTCATTCAATGTGTTTTTGGTTTTTATTTCTCTTGAGACTTTCTCTTTGACCTATGGATTTTTTTAGAAGTGTGTTGTTTAGTTTCCAAGTAGTAGAGATTTTTTGTTATCTATTATTAATTTCTTTAAAAAAAGATTTTATTTATTCACTCATAAGAGACACAGAGAGAGAGAGGCAGAAACATAGGCAGAGGGAGAAGCAGGCTCCGTGTGGGCACCCTGATGTGGGACTCGATCCCAGGACCCCGTGATCACAACCTGAGCCAAAGGCTCAACCACTGAGCCACCCAGGTGCCGTCTATTATTAATTTCTGATTTGATGCCATTGTGATGAAAGAACGTACTGTATGATTTTGATTCTTTTAAATTTGTTGAGGTTTTTTTCAGGACCCAGGATATGGTCTATCTTGGTCTTCTGTGAGTACATAAAAAGGATCTGTATTCTGCTATTGTTGGATGGAGTGCTCTACAAATATTAGATCTTGTTGATCGTGGTGTTGTTGAATTCTTTTATATCCTTGCCAATCTTTTGTTTGGTGGTTCTATTAATTGTTGAGAGAGGGCTGTTAAAGTCTTCAACTTAGTTGTGGATTTGTTTCTCCTTTCAGTTCTATCATCTTTGCTTCATATATTTTGCAACTCTGTTAGTTGGTACATACACATTTAGGATTGCTATGTCTTGGGCAGCCCTGGTGGTGCAGAGGTTTAGCGCCGCTTGCAGCCCAGGGCATGATCCCGGAGACCCAGGGTCGAGTCCCACGTCGGGCTCCCTACATGGAGCCTACTTCTCCCTATGCCTGTGTCTCTGCCTCTCTCTTTCTCTGTGCCTCTATGAATGAATTGAAAAAAAAAATCTTAAAAAAAAAAAGGATTGCTATGTCTTCATTATATAGTTTTATTTTTATATAATGTCCCCCTGTGTCTCCAGTAATATTTTGTCCTGATGTCTACTTTATCTGTTACTAATATAGCTTTTTTGCTTTTCTTTGAGTAATGTTTGCTTAATATATTCTTTTTTATCCCTTTACTTTCAATCTGCTTATATCATTGTATTGAGTGACTTTCTTGTAGATAGCCCATTGTTGGGTCATGCTTTTTAATCTATTATTGCCAATTTCTGTCCTTTAATTGGTATCTTTAGACCATTTACATTTAATGTAATTATGGGTATATTGGAGCACAAGTCTGCTTTTTTGTATTGTTTTCTGTTTGTTCTGCTTTTCCAGTTCTCTGTTTTGTTTCCTGCCTCCTATGAGTTAGTTGAACACTTTTTTGAATTCCATTTTGATTTGTCCATAGTATTTTTTTTAAGATTTTATTTATTCTTGAAAGACACAGAGGCAGAGACATAGGCAGAGGGAGGAGAAGTAGGATCCATGCAGGAGCCCAAGGTGGAACTCGATGCTGGTACTCCGGGATCACATCCTGAGCTGAAGGCAGACCCTCAACCAGTGAGCCACCCAGGCATCCCTGTCCATAGTGTTTTTTAATTAATCTCCCTGAATAGCTACATTTGTGGGTGCTGCAATTATAAAACCATTGAAGTTAGTACAGTCTTCTGGTGTCATCATTTTAACAATTTGAGTGGAATTTTAGAAACTTTTCCTCCCTTAGCATCTTTATCTTCTCCCATTTATAATTGTCTTAAAATTTTCTCTATATACTGCTAGAACCACATCAAACTGTTTAATCTTTGCTTGTTTGTCAAACATAATTTAGGAAACTCAAGAAAGAGTTTCCTATATTCACCCATATTTTTGCTTACTTTGTTCTTCCACCCTTTGCTGTATTCCATAAGTTCCTTCTTCATCATTTCCTTTCTGTTTAAAGAACTTCCTTTAGCCATTCTCTTAGCATAAGTCTACTGGCATCAGCTTAGTTTTCCTTGTTGAGAATGTCTCAATTTCCCCTTTGTTCCTGAAGAATATTTTTTCTGGTTATAAGATTCCAGACTGGAAAAAAAAAAAAGATTCCAGACTGATAATTCTTTTCTTTCAGCACTTGATTAGTGTAGTGCTTTCCTCTGGCCTCTATGGATCCTGATGAGAAATCTGCTGTCATTTGAAAATGTTTCCCACATAGGAGAGGTCATTTGTCTCTGGCTGCTCTCATGATTTTTCCCTTGTCTTTAATTTTTAAGGTTTTTAGTTATGTGTGTTAGCATGGATTTCTTTGGGTTTTTCATGTTTAGGATTTTCTCACCTTATTTAATCTGTAGCTTTATGTCTCATACCAAATTTGGGAAATTTTCAGCCATTATTTCTTTAAGTACTTTTCAGCCCCACCTTGTTTCTTCTCTCCTTTCTGGACTGATCTCTTGTAGTTCTATTGGTCCCTGAGGCTCTGGGTTTTTTGTTTTTAAGTTTATGTTCTCTCTATTGTTCCAGATTGGGTAAACTTTACTGTTTTGCCTTCCAGGTCACTGAGTTTGTTTACTGTCTCCTCCATTCTTCTGGTCAGCCTAACTACTAAGCTTTTTTAGTTTAGTTATTTTCAGTAATTTATTTTCTCCACGATCTCCTCTTAGCTTCTTCTTAGATGGGTGGGGATGGAGAGACAGATTGTTCCTGAGGTGTGTGGCTGGAGTAGGGTTATCATCTAAAGTTCTTTGGTGAAGCTGCCTCTTTCTTGCTCCTTTGGCTAAAGAGAACAGGCTTTTGTTGGGCTTTTATTTGCCTGTACCCACTGGCATTTCTAAGTTCTATTTCTTTAGTTCCAAGTCTTAGATGTATGAGGCAAAAGAAAATCCAGAAACTTACCATGGTGTCATTTGTTAGATCCTGAGGTCCCTAGCTTATCTGCCTTCTTCTCTCCATCTTCCATGTGTCTTATATGTGTTTTATGTAACACTCACAGTTTTTACTTTTACTTAGCAGGAAGAATAGTGAAAAGTATATCTATTCTATCTTCTTGGGAAAAAAATGTATTGGCTGTATAACTTTCTATCTTGTGAATGTACCCAAATATGTATGTAGAATGAATTCTTTTTAAATGTGAAGGCTTACATGGGTTAAATCAATTTTACAAGTATATATTGTCAGTGAAAATGGAATGGAGGCTGTAGGTGCCTGTAAGCTTGGCATAGATTCTGGTTACCAGAAATGCTAGAATAAATCTTAGATTTCTCCAAACTTATAAAAATGCAGTTAGAGGGCAGCCCCGGTGGCACAGCGGTTTGGCACCGCCTGCAGCCCGGGGCGTGATCCTGGAGACCCTGGATCGAGTCCCATGTCAGGCTCTCTGCATGGAGCCTGCTTCTCCCTCTGCCTGTGTCTCTGCCTCTCATTCTCTCTCTGTGTCTCTATAAATAAATAAATAAACTCTTTAAAAAAAAAAGTTTTAAAAAATGCAGAGTTAGAAAATGCCTGAGAATTTAATGTGGACCAGACCTCTGCCTACTGTAGGATTTCTTTCTGTAACCTTCCCAATCAATGGCTGTCATTCATTCACCACATACCAGTATGCCAGTTTCTGTGTTGGACACCAGTAATATACAGCTCCTGTCCTCATGGAACACAAATATGTCAGAGAAGACAGATGTTAAACAAATGACAGAATGCTTAGGAATATTTAATACCTAGCCTAGCTTATCTGGGGGGATAGAAAGTCTTGTTGAAGGAAGCAACATTTAAATTAAACTTTGAGGGGATCCTTGGGTGGCTCAGAGGTTTGGCGTCTGCCTTTGGCCCAGGGCGTAATCCTGGAGTCCTGGGATCAAGTTCCGCATCGGGCTCCCAGCATGGAGCCTGCTTCTCCCTCCTCCTGTGTCTCTGCCTCTCTCTCTCTCTCTGTCTATCATAAATGAATAAATAAATCTTTAAAAAAATAATAATTAAAAAATAAATTAAGCTTTGATGGATAAGTTGGAATTACATAAGTTGGTGGGAATCAAGGGATGATATGATATACAGAATAGTTTTGAGTGGTACGGACTGTAATAGTTTGGAGAATGAATGTTTCTAATGATGGGATCATACTACTTCACAAGTTCATCCTTTATGCGGTAAAAATTCTAGGTTAACAACTTCCTTTTGAAGGCTGCCTTTCTTTGACTTTTGCTATTGATCCTCACCTTGTTTTTGGAACGCCATAGACTAAGTCTGTGCTTCTACTAGAGAACCTTTCTAATATTCATTACTCTGTTCCTTTTCAGGTAAAATATTTTCTAGTCCTGCCCCAGCTAGGCCTTTCAACATCATTTGTGGATAATTTCTAGTTAGCTGATAGGGAGCTGAGAACTGAACACAACATTCTAGACATTGTCTAATGAAAAGCACTGAGAGTTCCTTTACTTTCTATCATTAGACACTAGACATCTTATCAATGCAAACTGAAATTACAATAGCTTTTTCTTCCAGCAGCTCAAAAAGATAGAAGTATAACTAATAGAATTGAAATCACCACTTCTGAAGTACTGTTTTTCTGAATAGCTGTGATTTTTCCCTTTTTTTCAAATATTTACTTGTCTATAGATCAAACCCTCCTTTTTGACAAGACCAAAGCCATCTCCTCCCTAAGCTTCAAACTGACCAAAGTATACTTTTGCTTGGCACACACCTGGTGAAGCACCCATAGCCATTCTCATGATCCCTGGCTTCCCCTCATCCTGGAGGCCTGTCCTCCATTGAAGCTACTACTGTCATCCATCCTTTTGACAGATTTACCCAAAGGCCCTACTGAGAAAGGACAGTCTGCTTAACATGTGAGACAGCACTCTCAGAGGACAGTGTCAAAGAGAGGACAGCAAGGGAATGCTGGACCTGTATCTTAACAGCAATCTTGCTTCCACTGATGCACACATCATTCTGGGGCTTGCTGGTATGAATTAGACAGTCTATAGAAAATTCTTGAGGCCCGAATCATATTTTTTATTTATTTATTCATGAAAGACACACAGAGAGAGTCAGAGACATAGGCAGTGAGAGAAGCAGGGTCCCTGCAAGGGTGGGACTCAATCCCAGAACCCCAGGATCACGACCTGAGCCAAAGGCAGATGTTCAACCACTGAGCCACCCAGGCGCCCCAAGGCCCAAGTGACATTAAAGTAACAGCTTTCTTTCTTTTTTTTTTTTTTTTAAGTAACAGCTTTCTCTGATCTACAAGCTAGAAAGTTTGCCTTTCCCTTAGCATCCTATTTAATTAAACTTTGGATGCAGCAAGACTTCCAGGACTAACTCTGAGAGCTGTTTGGGAGCCAAGAATAAGAGAGCTGTGGGGGACTCCACTGAGGCTTCTCCTTTGACTTTTTCATTTTACAGATGAGGAAATTAAGCTGGTGATAAAACCACTTAGTCAAGATTACAGAGGTAACTAGTTGCTGAAACCCAGACTTGAACTTGAGGCAGTTGAAAGAGAAATCCATGGAGCTTGCCTAAATCTCTATTTACACACAAATCTCCCTTTGGATAGCATAATTTGCATTTTGAAATTCTTTCTTTTCCCTTTTGGCCTCTACTTACATTCTCTACTTTCAGCTCTTCTTGATTTAAAATATCTAAAATAGGGATCCCTGGGTGGCGCAGTGGTTTCGCGCTTGCCTTTGGCCCAGGGCGCGATCCTGGAGATCCGGGATCGAATCCCACATCGGGCTCCCGGTGCATGGAGCCTGCTTCTCCCTCTGCCTCTGTCTCTGCCTCTCTCTCTCTCTCTGTGACTATCATAAATAAATTAATTAAAAAAAAAATAAAATATCTAAAATACTTAGACCTGCTAGGCCCTATTGGCAACACAAAGATGGATACAAGATACATGCCTTCACGTTGCTTGCAGTCTACTGGGGAAGGCAGCTGTATATGCTACCAACTATAAAACCAGACAGGAAGTGATATGAGCACTACTAGAAGCACAAAGGCTGTGGAATTCCTGGAATATGGATATTAAATTGTGTTTGGAAGGAGTTGGGGGTTAGATGGTGAGGGGTGGGGGCAGAAAAACCAGGAAAGATATGGTGTCATAGCTAAACTTGAAAGATTAAAGATAAAGAGGTGTTTGTTTACAGATGGAACTAGAGAGGCAAAGGGCAGGTTTAGGGAATGAGAGATTATCCAGTTTGAAATAACAGGAGGTAGGAGGATAAGGCTGGGAAGCTGGTGGAAGGCTGATCAGAAACTGTCAACACCAGTGAAAAGAATTTGAACTTTAGGATGTTGGCAGTAGGAAAACACCAAAGAATTTTTGAACCAGGGCTTTAAAAAGATAAATATGCAATGTGTATAATGTTGCTGGGGAGGTTACTTAGAAAATTCTTGCAGTAGTAGTCAAGAGATAGTGTAATGTTGGGACGTGGAAATAGAAAGAAGTGCCAGGTGCAGGAAACCTAGCAGAGGTAGCTCCTACAGGATTATTTGTACCTGCTGAGTGAAAAGGGAGAGGAAAGCAAAGCAGCAAAGGTTAACACTAGTCTTTCAATCCACCTGACTCAGAGAATGGTGTGCTCCAATGTGAGACAAGATCCCATCAAAATCCCAGAGGAGAACTCAGGCAACACCCTTTTTGAACTTGGCCACAGTAACCGGAGAAGGACAAACAGTGTATGTTCTCATTCATTTGGGGAATATGAATAATAGTGAAAGGGAATATAAGGGAAGGGAGAAGAAATGTGTGGGAAATATCAGAAAGGGAGACAGAACATAAAGACTTCTAACTCTGGGAAATGAACTAGGGGTGGTGGAAGGGGAGGAGGGCGGGGGGTGGGGGTGAATGGGTGACGGGCACGGAGGGGTACACTTGACAGGATGAGCACTGGGTGTTATTCTGTATGTTGGTAAATTGAACACCAATAAAATTAATTAAAAAAAAAAAGAAGTTCAAGGAATGGAAAAGACTAGGAAGGAATAAGCTGGAAGGTTTCCTATTGTACATACTGGATTTGAGATTCCAGCAGGACATTCAGCTGGGAGAGTCTAGAGCTAACTGAAAATGCAGGTCTGGAAGCACAGATGAAAAGGCTCACTTTAGAGATTCTCACAGTTGAAACTATGCAGGTGATAACGTTGTTTGAGTTGGAAGAAAGGATTGAAAAAGAAAGATTGAGGGCCCAGGATGGGATTTGGGGAATTATGGTGGCCAGCTGGAGTGGAAACAATGGAGAAAGGAGAAGTTGGTAAAAGACTAGTCAAGAACCTGGAGAATATGGTATATGGGGGCCAAGGCAGTTAAGTTGCAAGAAAGAGGGGAGAGGCTGGTTTTCACTACTGCAGGTGGGCTAAGGACCTTAGGGACTGAGAGGAGAAGACCCCTGCTGTTCATCACTTTAAATTCTTTCTGATTAAAAAAAAATAAAAAATAAAAAATAAATTCTTTCTGATTTAGTTGGTTTTAATTTAGGTGATAGCTTCTTCTGTTTCTACAAATTGATAGGCTTTTGCATTCTTGGCCCAGGCATCTGTCTATGCTCAGAAACCTAAATTTCATACCTGATGTGTGTAAGATGTCTTCATTTCTTACTACAGACTGGTATAGTTGTGTACATACTGGAATTCTATGGGAAGAATGAGTAACATGTGTCCTCTATCTCTTACTGGAATTTTGGCCTAAAACCCTGAGTGTGTCAGTGTTATTCTGCATTCACTTGGCCTGTCATTGCCTCTGCTACTTTCGTGTGCCCTGTACTTCATGCTGCCTCTTCCTAGAATTATAGATATGTACCAGAAGCAAGTTGCTATTTCTAGCAAAAATATCAAAGGAGGACAATTAGAGAAGGAGTGCGAAGAAGGAAGGCAGAAGGTGCAAATATACATTGTTTTGCAGGCACCATCTAGGTGCTTTGCCTTCATTATCTCATGTAATCCTCAGTCACCCCCTGAAGTAAGTAGTACTATCCCCATTTTACAGATGAAAACACTGAGATGCAGAGAGGTTAAGTGACTTGCCCAAGATCACACAACTAGTAAGTAAATGTGAACCCAGATCTGTGTGACTCCAGAGCCATCACACTGAGGCTCTGAGTTCAGAGCTCTGAAGTTGGTGTGCAGACATAAGAGTTAGAGAAACTCTGCCTAGCATCCTGGGGAACCCAGCTTTGGGCTGTGGTATATAAATGGCTGTATCTGTTGCTGATGCTTGTGTTATTTTTGCCTTAAGTTCTTCAGAATTGTTCACTTACCCTCTGGTTCTTCCTGAGAAGAGCTTCACTCTATAGAATTTGTGTTATTTTAAGGTCTACTAACGAGAAATAAAGATTGATTGCCTCTGGGGAGTAGAGCTGGAGGTGAGAAGGGGTGGGGCAGGAAGCTGTTGTTTTCATCACAAGACCTTGTACTAGTAGGGTTTTTTAAATCATGTTACTTTGATTTTATACGAAGTCCTTTAATGACCAGTAGATATTGAGATACAATAGCAAATACTATGTATATACAAGAGAACATGCTTTGTTTCATTAATGACTGTGAGGTATATTACAAAATCACAAAACTGCAATTTGTGCATCTGTTCTTTTATTTGAAGGTTCGTAATGAGTTTTACAAGGATACACAGGGTGTAATACTGGTCTATGATGTTGGGCAGAAAGACTCCTTTGATGCTCTTGATGCGTGGCTAGCAGAGATGAAACAAGATCTTGGACCTCACGGAAACATGGAAAATATTGTATTTGCAGTGTGTGCCAACAAGGTAACTGCTTTGGAAATGGTATGCTTGACTTTCTAGATTCATTATGGGAAGAGTGCAGCTCTGAGTTTTGGGGAACAAATGAAAAGAAGCCCTTATTCTATAATATAGTAATCAACAGCTTTTCAAAACATACATCCCTAGAACATAAAGAATAAAAACAAAAACTCCCATGTGTCAGGATAGTTATCCACTTTTTTTTCTGGTGCCTTACATGGGGAAGAATATTGGTGACTGAGCAGGAGAGTCACCGACTAATAATTACACCGACCTCATTAGAAAAGGGACAATAATTAGGTGCAGCATGGATTACAGAAAGGTATGAGAAGTATACTGTGGCCCCTGGAGCATGGGAGATATTATGAAGCTAATTTTCAGAGAGGTATGGAGCAGTTTTCTTAAAGGATAAAGTGTGGGAGCAGGCACTTGTCATTTTGCCACAGGAAATCAGTCTATGTTCAACATTGGCAATTTTTTTGATCCTTTTGGTCCTGATAATTGTATGTATATACTGGCATTCATTTAAGAGTAGTTTTTGCCTCAGTAAAGGATTGATGAAGACTTCACTGGACCTATGCTAGTGAATCAAGTTTGGAGTCTTCTCTCTGCCCACCCCCCAAATTTTTATTTCAGATTGACTGTACCAAGCACCGCTGTGTAGATGAAAGTGAAGGGCGTCTGTGGGCCGAAAGTAAAGGGTTCCTGTACTTTGAAACTTCAGCACAAACTGGAGAAGGAATCAATGAGATGTTCCAGGTAAGCTAGCATTGTTTAGTTTGTTACAAGGCTGACCATGCCAAATTTTAGTTTAAATTATGAGAAGCAGAAATATAATAGGAGTTGCTCATTAAAGCAACTCTTTTTAGAAGCTGGTGAGAAAAAGAGTAAGAGAGAGGGAGAGAGAGTGAGTGTGTGTGTGTGTGTGTGTGTGTGTGTGTGTGTGTGTGTGTGTGTGATATCTGCCTACAGTGTACAAGACCTGGCTGATCATCAGAATTACTTTGGGAAATTCTTCAAAACACAGATTTCTGGGCTCCAGACCTACTGGAAGCTTAGTGCTGTGATAGAACTTAGGAATCTATATTTTGAAAAAGCTTTTCAGGTGATTTTGATGACCATCAAGTTTAACAATAGTTACTATATACTTACAGTAGGAACAAAGGTTTTCTTTAAAACTACCTTTGATTAATGATATTATAGGAGAATGGCATTGCAGAGTCTAGCCAGTCACATAAAAATAAAACACCAAGTAGGCAATGGAAGGATGTACTCATATTGGAACTGAATGGATGGTGATTTTTAAAAATTATTAATCTTGAATATTTTTAAGGGAACAAGATTTATTTACTTATTTTTATTTTTATTATTTTTTAGAAGGTGAAGGGCAAAAGGAGAGGGAGAGAGAAAATCTTAAGCAGGCTCCACACCCAGCACAGAGCCAGATGTAGGCTCGATCTAACAATCCTAAGATCATGACCTGAACCAAAATCAAGAATTGAATACTTAACCAACTGAAACACCTGGGTGCCCAGAATAACGTTTTTTTTTTTCCTTAAGATTTATTTATTTATTTGAGAGAGAGAGAAAAAGAGAGCACAAACTAGAGGGTACAGGGACAGGGAGAGAGAAAAACTCAAGTGGACTCCACATTGAGCATGGAGCCTCATGTGGAGCTCGATCTCATGAACCTGAGATCATGACCCTAGCTGAAACCAAGATTTGAATGTTTAGCCAACTGCACCACCCAGGCGCCCCCAGAACAAGGCTTTTTTAAAACAATAAATTATAAAGTGAAGTCAACTCTTAATTACAGATACATTTGGAAGTAAGTGGTGGCATGAATTATGCATTTTTTTCTTATGAATATATCTGATATTTTGGGAATTTTTAGCATTTCAAATAATGTAGCTATACTATAAAGAGTTGTTCTTAATTATTGAGTGGGATTTTATTTAATCTTTTATGCTAAATTTCTTTCTCTTAAAATGTCACCGCCCCTACTAGAAGACAGGTTTCATCCTTGGCTGACAGGCTGAATTGGGCATCAGTAGCTTCTATTTTAAGACCATAAGGTTGATGTTGGCTTGCCACACTTTCTGTTCTACTGAGTACATGAACCTGTGTGAGTTTGTGCCTATTTATGTGCAATAATGATACTTAATCATTTGAATAGTGTTTTACAATTCTGGAAAAGTTTACATGTTTCATCTCATTTGAGACTTACTGTGTGTGGCAGGTTTTATTCTCATTTCAGATGTTATAACATCTAATAGTAGTAAAATGACTTGTCCAAAGGGTATAAATAATGCTTGTTGACAATTAAATTTCTTTCAGCACATTAAAGTGCTGGTCTATTCTCTTCTGGTCTCTGTTGCAACTCATGAGATGTTACCACCTATTCTTACTCTTACTCTTTTGTGCATAATGTGTTGGGATTCTTTTCCCCCTCTGCCCACTTTCAAGAGTTTTCCTTTATCTTTGGCTTTCAGCTTTGGACTATGTGACTGGATGTGGTTCTCTTTATATTTATCCTGCTTGGTGTTGTTGAGTTTCTCAGATTTGCTAGACAGGTGTTTTCCACCATTATTTGTTTAAAAAGTTTTTGGCTCTATTTTCACTCTTTTCCTTCCTGGACTCCAGTTACATGTATATTAGGCTGTTTGATTTTTGTCCCACAGTCCTTGAGACTGTGTTATTTTTCTTTCCCTTTTCTCTGTTTTTCAGATTCCATAGTCTCTGTTGATCTGACTTTCAACTGCTGTTAAATCCACTGAGTGAATTTTTCACTTCAGTACTTTTCAGTCCTAGAATTTGCATTTGATTTTCTTGTATAATTCCCAGTTCACTGCTGAGATTCTCTTCTGTTCACTTATTAAGACTATATTTTCCTTTATCTCTTTGAAACATTTATAGTAGCTACTCTAAAGTCTGTCTGGTAAGTCTGATATCTGAACCATCTTGGGTCCAGTTTCTATTGACAGCTTTTTTTCCCCTATGTATAGATCACATTTTCTTGTTTCTTTTTTTTTTTTTTTAAGATTTTATTTATTAAAAAAAAAGATTTTATTTATTTATTCATGAGAGAGAGAGAGAGGCAGAGAGGCAGAGACACAGGGAGAGGGAGAAGCAGGCTCCATGCAAGGAGCCTGACATGGGACTTGTTCCCGGGTCTCCAGGATCACACCCTGGGCTGAAGGCACTGGGTTGAGCCACCTGGGCTGCCCACATTTTCTTGTTTCTTTGTATGAGTAGTGATTTTTGATTAAACACCAGACATGGTGGATAATACGTTGTAGAGGCTCTAGATTCTTTATTTTCCTCAGCAGAATATTGGTTCTTGTTTCAGCAGGCAGTCAGTTACTGGCAGATCATATTGAATTTGTGTGGGCTTGTTTTTTGCCTTAATAGCAAGGATCTGAACGAAGCTCAAAGTGTTGCCCAAGCTTTTCTAACATGGCAGAATTCAGCCTTCAGATTCTGTCTCCTTCTCAGATCTTGTCGGCTCTTGGTTTTAGATTTTGTTAAGATGAGTCTACTACCAAACCACAGTCTTTCCATGATGTCTCAGCTAGATACGGGGGTGCTAATGAGGTAGTAAGGCAACCTCTGCACTCTGGCAAGGTCAAACTATAGTGTTTCCATTATACCTCTTTGGGAAGACCTCTAGTATATTGGTTCTATTCTCAATCCCATAATAGCTATTACCTGGTAAGCCTCAGGTGATCTCATCCTGTGTCTGTAGAGCCTGACCTCAGCTACAAATTAGTAGGGAACCCTTGAGGACATGGACTTCTGGGGCCCAACTCTGCCTAGTTGCTTCCTCTCCAATGCCCTGCTCTGCAGATTCTAACCACTTCGGTATCTTTAACCTCTGATTTCTGTCTCTTCAATTCAGTGGGACTTTGGGACTGCTCAGACAAGAAATGGATTCCAGGTAGAAAGCCAAGTGGCAGTGTTGCACTTGCTATTGTCCACTACCTGAAAATAGTTGCTTCGTATATTTGTCCATTTTTGTAGTTTATGGCAGGCGTTCTAGTCCCATCTAGTGCCCATCACTCCATCATGGCTGGAACTCAGACGTACAATGTAAATAGACTTTTGACGTCAATTCTACTGTACCATATAATATGCCACAGCTGGCCTTCTATGACCATGGGTGTTATGAGTGAATACTTGCCCTCAGAAATCTGGGGGCATTTTTTTTAAACTTTTATTTTATTATTTATGATAGTCACAGAGAGAGAGAGAGAAGCAGAGACACAGGCAGAGGGAGAAGCAGGCTCCATGCACCAGAAGCCCGACGTGGGATTCGATCCCGGATCTCCAGGATCGCGCCCTGGACCAAAGGCAGGCGCTAAACCACTGCGCCACCCAGGGATCCCTCTGGGGGCATTTTTATTTTAGTTTAACTTATAAACTGGAAGAAAACCTTACTGACAGAGAGCATAAGCAAACATCTGTGAACTGTTCATGGCTTTTAGGTTGCTTTTATCCTTTCAGATGAATCTTGGGCAGCACTAATAAATTAGTCTGTTTTTTATAAAGCTAACAAGGAATATAATAAAACTATTATGTGAGCAAACACTTAGAAGTAGTACTTTCCTGGTGGCTCAATTTAATATTTTGTTTCCTATATACTTATAGATACTTTATGTCAGAAAGGAGCTTAGTTTTGTCTTACTCACATTGTGAATGGAGAGTAAGATAGACTAAATCACATCAACTCTTGTTTTGGTATCTAGTGGCTTTTCCTTTGACACCCTTCTCACAAATCAAGTCCTCTTGTTTAGGTTGCCAAATCTATTAGCTATTACTGGAGATGAGAAGTCTAAGAGAAATATAAAAACTGGAGATAAGGAGAAGTCTAAGAGAAATATAAAATTTTTAGATAACAACAGGAACTATGGAAATATCTGAAAAAGAAGAGGAAGAGATTTAAATAAGAGTTGGAGGGAAGAGATGTGTTCATTGGAAAGCAATATAGTATATTAATTAGTATTTTGAACAAAGGGAATCTAAAAAGTGTACAGAGTATGAAATATAAACAAAATAAAAAAAGTTTTCATTTCGAAAAACATCAAAAAGTAGTCAAAGAATCTGAACAATTTACAGAAAATGGAAAAGTACTAAGCATATGAAGACACTCAACCTCACTTATAATTAAAGAACTCAAATCCAAACTATGTACTACACATTGGCTTGGCAAAAGTGAAGCTATAGGGCAGCCCCAATGGCGCAGCAATTTAGCACCACCCGCAGCCCGCGGTGTGATCCTGGGGACCCTGGATTGAGTCCCACGTCGGGCTCCCTGCATGGAGCCTGCTTCTCCCTCTGCCTGTTCCTCTGCCCCCCTCCCCGTCTGTGTCTCTATGAATAAATAAAATCTTAAAAAAAAAAAGTGAAGCTGTACAATAATGCCCCATAGTGACAAGGGTATAGAGAAATAGCACTGTCAGACACTGTGATGGGAGTTTAGTTTTTTTTTTTAATGAAAGATATTGAAATAAAAAATTAAAATGCTTCACACTGTTATTTAGTACTTCTCCTTTTAGGGATTTATCCTAAAGCAGTATCTCCACAACTGTGCAGATGTGTATACACACACACACACACACACACACAGTATTCATTAAAGTACTGTGTGTAGTAGCAAAACCTGGAAACAATTGACTTGTTAAATAAATAAAGATACAGTCACACAGTGAAATACTGAAGTCATGAAAAAGGATGAAGAAAGTGTCTATATGTACTCTCCAGAGAGAAGAGTCCAAGATGTATTTTTTTAAAGATTTTATTTTTTTAAAGTAATCTCTGTACCCAGTGTGGAGCTCAAACCACAACCCCAAGATCAAGAATTACACACTTTACTGACTAGAACAGCCAGGCACCCCTGTATTTTTATGTGAAAAAAATGCAAGGATCTAAGCAGTATGTTTAATCAGCTTTCTTGTATGTCAGTGTTTAGTGTGTAGATGAATGTACTGGTATTCTGATAGAAAATCTTTCTGGAAAGATGCTCAAAAAATATTAACAATGGTTACTTCAAGGAGAGGAACTTGAGAGACAATTTTCATTTTATACTTTATTTACTATTTGAATTTTTCTAACTGTGCATCTATTACCTTTTAACCTCTAGTGTGATTATTTCAGAGGAGGATTATTATGAGCCATTTAAATTTTATTCCTTATGCTTTATGGTGAATTTTAAGTTATTGGAATATATCAAAATTCTTTAAGTTATGCTTAAGAGGAATTCCTATTTTCATAAAATCAGTTCTATTCTGGGATGGTTTCTTTTTGCAGACCTTTTATGTGTCCATAGTTGATTTATGTGAAAACGGCGGGAAACGTCCAATCACTAATAGCAGTGCTAGTTTCACCAAAGAACAAGCAGACACCATTCGCAGAATTCGAAACAGTAAAGACAGTTGGGATATGCTGGGAGTCAAACCTGGGGCCTCAAGGTAAGCAACACCTAGGATATTAGTGCTGAGTTCTATCCTGGAGAAAAACTCAGTTGTCAACATCGTAGTCTGATAGATCTTCTTATAATTGGCTGGAAATATGAAGATGTGTGGAAATGCACTAGATTATGTAATAACTCTTCTGCAGTGAATTAACTGAATACCAAAGAAACAAAATAGAGGGCACAGTTGCCTGATGTGAAGAACTATGTAGTGTGTTGCATAAATACTTTCTGATATGGTGTGTTCTGCTTTTGTCTGTGTTGAATAAGAGACTTGAAGCAAATGTAACTTTAAAAAAATACCTTACAAAAGAGAATTCTTAAATCATAGAATTTTAGAAGAGGAAAATAATGTTAGCAGTTTTTCCAAACACTTCATTTTATAGGTGAGAAAACTGGGATTCAGTGAGACTAAACACATGTTCAAGGACATTAGGAGTTAGTGGTACAATTGGTTTTTGACCTTGAACACTGTGTGTCTGCCTGGCTCTATGTCTTTCTACAGCCCTCAGAATCCTGCTAGGTTCACATCTGTGTATGAATTTATGTTAAATGGTTTTATTTTTAGCCAAAAGAAATATTTGGGAGGAAGAGGAATACAATCACTATTCTTTGTTGCTTGTGCGAGAATAAATCCTTGTTCGGTATGGTTATGTAACTTTTAACAATAGAACACTTCTGTTACTGTACATATTATGATTTTTATTGTAATTATAAGGGTTCTCAGATCTTTTTATTTTGCCCCATAACTTTCCTTCCCATCCTTCTCCCTTTCTACTTTGTCACCTTGGTTCCCACAAAAAAAAAAGTGCATGTTGAAATCCCTTGTCAGTACCAGTGGCATTAAGTTTCTTTTTTCCATTTGGGTCACACAGCCCACCTCAAGCCCAGAAAGAAAGAGGGCAGGGGAAGAGTAAAACAGTTACTGGTCACCTCGACCTGCCAGACCTAACAGAGGAGGCTTTAAACACATGAACAGTTTGGATGATCTCATGTATATAGCACAATTAATTGGTATCTTTTAAATGTCCTTTTGGAGTTCCATAGTCTCATTCTAAAGTCTTCTGTTTCACCTCCAAGGGAGATTGGCTGTAAAATTAAGAAACTTTACTTATTAGTTAACTTAGAACAGTATTTATTAAGGAAAAAGAAACCTTGGGTTCCTTACATACTATGTTAATTGGAATCTATCCAAAATGTACGGGACCTCCATAAGTTCTATATCACTGACCAATATAAACATGTGTTTCTTTTAGCTCCATTTCTCTGGGTCTATCAGATTAATTCTACTTGGCAGTGAGAACATTTAGCAGAACCTAAAGACAGTTTTTTAAAGTTATAAAGAGTTTAAATGTTTGTTCAGTGCTCCGTTTACTGTTCTTGAACTTTAAGAAAATTTTCATCTTCAGCAGAATTAATATATTTGTTATTTTGTTAAATGTATTTGTGAATGTATGTGTTATTTTGGAGAAGAATTCTGGCAATTTGAGTATCTTCAGAGAGGGAGAATATGATTTTTGTTAGTTAATATCAAAATTATCTATGTAAAAAAGCCCCATGCATGTTTTAAAACAAGAGAATTCAGGATTTATCTAAGAGCAGAAAGCAGAAAAAGCCTTAGAACACATACCCCAAACCAAGGACAGCTGTGAACATGGCCTTGTGACCTCAGTCTTTCCAAATGGGCACTCAAGAATTTTCATCACTGCAAGACAATCAAAGACCACCTCTCTAATTCAGAGAGCTAAATAGAAATTCTTCTGAGAAAACATAAAGGAGAAAAGCTAGGGCATTTGGGAAGGCACCATATCCAGGCTTGTAGGATAATTGGAACCCTGAATTACGAAAAGAAGGTAGGAAATAAAACTATCTAGTAAGGACAGAGCTAAACCTGACTAGAAGAGGAGCTGGGTATTTAGAAACATGTGGTGGCCTGACACCAGAGGACTATGAAGAGCAGGGAGAGGGGCAGATGGTCTTCAGGCTCCTCCCCAGCCAGTCCTTGCTTGTTGAAGAGCTCAGAAGCCTGAAGACCCCTCATGGAGCTCTTCTGGGCTTTGGGAAGCACTCGCTGTCCTGCCTTCTTTCCTCTCTGGGTAATGTTCCCTTCTCTTTTGTTTCTTCTTTGGTCTTAGGAGCTCGCTGGAGCTCTCAGGTTCCCCCATTTGCAGCATCCCTTTCTTGATCATTGGTGTCACCATCTTCCCTGAGCGTCAGAGTCCCTATGACCCTGGAACTTATTTCAGCCCCTTTTCTTCCATCTCTTCTACCTGTATATCCGGTTCATCACCTGTTTCTGCCGATTCTTTTTCTATATTATCTCTTATCTTCCCTTATTTGTCTCCACAAACACCTTAATCCAAACTGTTGTGCTTGGCTTATTGTAACAACCTCCTCTCTGTCTCCTAACTTCAAGAGACAGCTTTCTGAGCACCTTTTTTGTCATGAAATGCCTACTGATGTCATTGTTTATCAAATCCACTTTTTTGTGATTGTTTGGATTTCAAGGCCCTTCTCTTACTGACCCCTGCTTCCTGGCCAACTTTGTTTTTGTTACCCACCCCCACCAGCAGTGTCCTCATGGAACTTCATGCCATGGCATGCTGTTCCTAATTCCTAGCCTCTGCCGGCTCTCTCCCAGTTGCTCTGTGTTTCCCCACTTGTGCCAGAACCCCACTCTAGAGGCCTACCCTGATCACCCTGTGCCCTCATCGCTTCACAGCACAGTTTGCTGGGTGCCTGCTCCATGCCAAGGACCTTTTCACAGATCATTCTTTTACCAGGCATTTCCTTGGTGTTTCAATACTTGCTTCACTTTGAATTTCTTTTTCTACTTGTATGTAACATATAATGTATTTGTTTATTGTGTGTTTCTGAGTCTTTTAGTCCCACTTGTGAGAAAATGTAATAATGATTTGGGAGATGCTTACTGTGAGAGATATGATGTAAGTCCAGACAGCCAAACTGCAGTGGGTGGGGGCTGACCCTATTGCTGACACATGGAGCTTGGCTTCTTTCTTGTAGGGATGAAGTCAATAAAGCCTATCGGAAACTCGCTGTGCTGCTTCATCCTGACAAGTGCGTGGCACCTGGTAGTGAAGATGCCTTCAAAGCGGTTGTGAATGCCCGGACAGCCCTCCTGAAAAACATCAAGTAGGAAGTAAGAGAAAAAGACAAATGCGGGCCTCAAGTATGAATGGACTGTCCCTAGAAGTGAAATAACCAACATGGACTTTTTTTCTCCACAGAAATCTTACTGCTTTTTTCTCTCGTGTTGTCATTTGTAAATTAGAAATTCAGGTGCCTGTTATCATTTCACAGAGTGGTGTCAAGAACCAAGCGCCACTTGTATGTATAGTTCATTTCCTATTTCTAAATAATCTGAATTTTTTTCCTCCTTCATTCGTAAGCTCTGTAGTGATAGCATCCCTCACGTGCTTCACTCAGGAAAATCCAGGTTTCTGGAGGGAGGAAGGGGGACAAGAAGACCCCTTTGCTTTGCTTTTCCTTTTTTTTTTTTAAGTTCATTGGAGAAGGAAACAACAAAGACAGAAGGAAACAATATCAAAACCCGCAAAAGTTTGGTGGGACCTCACAAGCAAGTTGCTTTTTTTTTTTTACGAGTTCCTTAAGTAATATTTGAATCATCGATCAATCCATAATTAATGAACTCTTGACAGCCCTTTGGAAGTTTGTGAATTGAGGCAGTTCCAAATAGAGTAGCCCTTGTAGGACATGCACTCTGTCCCCTTCTCCAGCCACCAGGGGAGAGACAGGCTAGTCCTAGGAAGGAAAAGGCAGGGGCAACCAAGAGTTCTGGGAACACTGGCTATTGCTAGTCTTGCCCCTGGATCAGAGGCCTTTCTTTAGCATAGAACCAGGTGCTGGTAGTGGTAGGGAGCATCGTGCACCTAGGAAGCAGGAATTGGACCCCAAAACAGAATTGCTTGCAGGTTACAGAAGCATGTGTGTGCACATCCCCAGAGGGCAAGATCAGAGGCAAGGCCTAAGGGCACAGCCAACCTGGCTTGGGCTTGTGTGATACCCCTAGGAGAGCCTGTGTATGAGGCTTGTGCCTTTTTTCATTTCTGCACAGTTTGCCATAGATAGGTAGGAAAGATAGGGTTACTCCTATGAGCCGGGCCTCTTTTTCACTTCCTTATCTGCATTAGTTCCCTCTTCTTCCTCTTTTCTTCTCTTATTATTATTATTTTTTTAATATACCACATCTGTCATTTTTCTCTTACTGAGTCCCTGGCTTTTGGCCACTGCCTCTTCCATCCTCTCTTACAAGCCCTGGTTGACCAGAGACAGTATGGATCCTTTGAGTGTTGGTGGAAGGAGAGATCTTAAGGCCTAAGTGGAAAGAATCTCTAATTTCTGCTTGGGCTTCATATTTCTAAATAGTAATATTTTTAAACTATAGATTATGAAAGCTAATTTTACATAGAAAAATATGTTCTCTTGCCATAGTCTCCTCCTCAGTATCCAAGGAATGGTTGAAGATGAAGTATATGAGGACTGACCATTCTTCCAGAGCTTTCAGAACTGGTCTTGCTGTTTGACCCATTATATTGTCAGTCTCAGTACATTGCTCCTACTTTTAGCTGCACTAATTAGGCTTTGAGGTACATCAAATGTTACTGTATGTGAATTTTAAACAGCTATCTCATATTTATCACCACATAGCATTCGCCTTCTACCCAAGAAAAGCCATGTTAATTTGATTTAATTCCAGCCCTCTGCAGTCTGCTGGATTCTTCTCTCCAAAGCAGCTTCCCTTTGTGTGGCTGCACTTGGGCTGCATTGAGCTTGTTGTCAGGAAATCAGAGCATTGTGTTCTACTATGACTTCTCATCTTGGTGGTATTGAAAATGCTTCTTTTTTATGAATTGATTCTGATATATGATTTCCTAGGAATTGTCCTCTGGACTTTTAATTTTAAATAGCTTCTGGGACTACAGAACACCAACCCAAAGTTCTTCTGAATTTAAATTTTGCTTAAGGCCTTCATCATGCCTAAAGTAATTAAATGTAGATCTATTCTTGCAACAGAACTAGAGTCAGAAAAAAACGAGGGATTGTGCATGGTAGTGTCAGTCCAAATTGACATGGTAGGTCACTGAGTATGTGGCTCTGTATAAAGCCTGTGCCAGTTTTCATCACTGTTACTAAAGACCAGATTGGTCATCTTATTCAACTACATTGTGCAGATGAGCAGTTATAACAGAGAGTTCTTTAGTGCTTCCATTCCTATATAATGAGTGACTTGTTGAAATTTAGCCTGATCTTCATTCTTAGGTCTTGGAACCCAGTTCCCAGCACCTCCTTTATTAATGTTAAGGTCGGCCATGAACTACTTCATTTATGTAGAAGAAGGAAAAAAAAAAGTTCAGCTTCACGGCCCTAGAATTTGTCTGAGTGCCATAATCCTTGCACAGAATATTAAGGGATAATAAAGCATGATTTGCAATGCAAAGTCTTTTGGTACTAACTTCATACAAAACTTTGTAGACCTCTGTGTATTAGTTTAAATTATCGGTGCAAATATATGTACTTTGTAGTTCAACTTTATGAAATTCCTTCAGCCAGTTAGGATTTCAGAATATGTTGGTGAGAGTAACAATTAGCAGAACCATTCCATTCACTAAAAAAAAATTGATGGAGAATCTTGTTTTTCAGAAAAGAATTAAAAAGTTTGCACAGTTCTTTTGAAAGAAAGCCATTACTTCCATGTCTGAGTCACCAAGAATGAACAGTTTGAAAGTTTGTTAGAAATCCCTCGAGGCATTTCCACCTAATTGCCCATCCTACCTAAGCACTTTAAAATACACCCTCCTTTTCCCCCTCTGTTCCCCTGTGTGGCTTCTTTTGAATTGACATTCTCAGCTATCAGCAGTCTTCCTAATTCCGCTTTGTCATTTCATATTATCACGAACACGTGTCCTTGGCCCTGTTAGCCTGTGAACATGAAAGTCTAGGCCTGGAGTAGTGTGCTGCTACCCAGGATAAATTGCTATAATCCTAGAGTGGCACGCTGTCCTTTAGGGCTTACACTTACCTCAGGAAACGTACTCTAGTGTGTTCTCATGCATCAAATTCTCAACTGGTAAATAATTTCTTTGTACCCATAAACTGGTACCTAATTCACTGCTAGTTAAAAGAGCCATAGATAAGGCAGCTAAATTTCTGAAAGAAAGCCAGAGTAAGCGGCCCCTGTAAACCCTGAATCAGTTAACAGTAGCTGTTCCTCAGAGAACAGCAACAAAATCTCGAGGGGGTGGGAGGTGTTTCAGGCCCAAGTTAGAAAGGGTGCAGCAGTGTACAGATTGCCCCTGACAGCGCCCTTCTCAAAGGTAATTTCTGTAGGCGCCGGGATGTCACTCCCTTCTCCACTGCACTCCATCTAGCTGCCAACATTTCTGTAAAACTCTTGAAAATGAGTTTAGCTGCAGAATAGAGCTCCCTACCTTCCATTGCAAGTTTTGCAAAGTGAAGAAAGGCTCATACTTCTCATATTTGGTATTAGCACAATTGTAAGACGGCCAATAACGTTTGTGCGTTGGTTATTCCATTAAACCTTTCTGGGAAAGACAAAAGCTTAAATTTGTGATGTGGGTAAGTTAGATTGTGTCTAACAAGCAGTGCAATATTCAGCTGTGCCAGAAAGGCCCTGGTGGTGAAAGGACTTGTTGGCAGGCTGGACGGTTTGGGTTAGTGTCCTGCATTGATTTCCTGTGGGGCACGTGTCCCCTTTGACTGTGAATGCAAAGTATCTAAAGAAACCCTTCGCTCTTACGAGGTAATTTACATATTTGCTTCTGTTGAAATAACTGAAAATGTTAAATCTAACAGTTGTTTATGTCTTGTATAGAGAGTGTCATATGTATTTAAGTTGTGTATTTTTATAAAATAAAGCCAAAACTCAAACACTGGTCTGTGGGCTGCACTTATTTGTTGAGACCTTGGTCTTCAATGTAAAATGGACTTGTCTAGGAGCAGCCCAGTCCCTCACCAACTGAGACCTTACAGAGAACATCTTGCTTGAGTTTCCGGGTGGTAAATTTTAGGAAATTTTATTATCAGTCCATCAGGCAATTCTAAACTTAGTAAGTTGTTATGAAAGCATTTTGATCTCTTAAAGAAAGATGCTAATATTGTGTTTGCCTTTTTAATTCAGATGAAACTGTTACCATCCTATTTTAATAATGCAGCGCTCACTCAGCTGGATAGCTTACTAACTCAGTTAACTGGTTCCTGGAAAAAAGAATCCTTAAGTAACAGATTGTTGTGAACCCAGAATTTGGAAAGGAAAGTCTTGTAGGGCCAACCTACAGAGGCAGTGTATCTCTGAAGCCTTCAAACAAGAGCTGGAATTTTCATTATGAACTATGTATGTTGTCACCTAAGAATGCCCACCACTCTTTTGGGGAACTGTTCTACCCCCTGTATCCTGCTAGCATGCTTTCAAGAGGAGCTGCCAGATTCTCCTCTAAGCCACCCTGGCTCCCTAGCCACCCAGATTGGTCCATGAGATGGGAATGTCACCCAAGCTGAACCAATGGGCATCCTTCTCTGGGATCTTTCCAATTGGAGCTAGGAAAACCACCTTCCTCTCAGGAGAGTAAGATTGGATAAGTCCTGTTGATACTGGCAACTGTGATTCCAGTATCATGGAAAAATTCTGAAAGATTTAAGCAGATATTCATAAAGAGACAGAATCCTGATGGCAAAGACTTGCCTTCCAATCCCTGAGGTCTCCTGAGCAGGTTGTCTTTGAATCCATATGCCACACCAGAATCCTTCCCACAGATCTCCAACTCCTGTTTTCTGCTTAGGTTCATTGGAGTTTGCTTTCCATTACTTGAAACTTAATATTAGAAGATAGTAGACCTCAAGGATTGTAAGCAAGGATAAGAAAGCTATGGTCTGTAGACTGTACAACATTTGGTAAGTATACTATTAACATTTATATATTATAATATGTCCAATTACTTGATGTTTCTCTTGTTTTGTTTGTTATTTGTTTTTTACTTGATGTGTCTCAATTGGAGTCTTTGGCCATATCTTAAACCAATAATAGCCAGTTGTAAACTGAAAAGCAAAATTAGGTTTATTAAATTTGTTTCAGGGTCAATTTAAGATGCAAAATACTTGTGATTTCTTAAATTTCTAATTGAATTTTATTGTTAAAGTATTCATTTTCATGCATGTCTTGAGCACCTACTACATGTCAGCCTGTTCTAGGCACTGAGTATATAACTGAGCTCAGGACTGACAAAAATCCCTGCCCTCCAGCTCTTAACATTCTAGTGTCATGTGTGTGTGTGTGTGTGTGTGTGAAGTTTTGAAAAAAGGTTCTTATTTTTCTATAGGCTTATTTCCTATATAGGTTTATTTCCAAAGAGGTAAGTTTGTACTTTTTGAGTAGTCTCCAAGATATGCAATTTGGAATTAATACTCTGATTGCTACTATATACTGTAGATCGTGGGGGGTGTTAAAATGCTGTATTAAGGTTTTTTGGAGAACTTAATGATTATCATCCAAAGCTCAATTTTTCATATTGGCATAAAGGAAATAGTTCCAGACTTAAGGAGTTTCTTTACATATGTTTTATAATTAATGTATTCTTTCAAAGCAGTTGATAAGGTTGTATTTATTTGGAGGAAAATATCTAGAATTTAAGTTGTTTTAGTTAAAACAATACTGTGTACCTCTGATATCAGCCAATGAAAATTTTCATTTAAAACTGACTGTTGGGGGCAGCCCTGGTGGCTCAGCTGTTTAGCGCTGCCTTCAGCCTAGGGCCTGATCCTGGAGACCTGGGATTGAGTCCCATGTCGGGCTCCCCGCATGGAGCCTGCTTCTCCTTCTGCCTGTGTCTCTGCTTCTCTCTCTTTCTCTGTGTCTCTCATGAATAAATAAATAAAATCTTTTAAAAAATAAAAATAAAACTGTTGTAAAGGATGCTATGACTTCAAAAAAATTATTCTCTCTACATCCCAAGCAGTTAGTTGTTAGTGATCATTATAAAAGCAGCCAATGCAGCCCCCAATAGCATTTTACCCAGGGAAGAGACAATAAAAGTCTGCTATGATTGAGGGAAATGAAGATGGAAGGTGCCTACATGCCTCAGATAGCAGAATGTGAACATTCTGCTAGTCTCAGAGTATAAGAGAAAACAGAAAGGTTAATAAAATAAATACTTAAGAGAGCAAAGCCATCTTAGTGGTTTAAAAGGAAAATAAACCTTTAAAAGGAAAATAAACCAGAAATAAACCATATCCAGGTGCCTGGGTGGCTGTCAGTTAAGCGTCTGCCTTTGGCCTGAGTGGTGATCCCAGGATGCTGGGATCGAGTTCTGCATCAGGCTCCCTGAGCCACCCTCTGCCTTTGCCCTCTGCTCTTCCCTCCTGCTCATGAGCTCTCTCTCTCCCTCAAATAAATAAAATCTTTTAAAAAAGGAAAGAAAGAAGAAAAAGAAACTATTTCCATTCTGAATATCAGGGAGGAAGGAGAAAAGCCCTAAGCCAGTGTCTGTCAGATTTCTTTATTGACAGAACCCTATATTTCTAGTGAGCTCCCAAAACAGGGTCCCTGTATGTAAAACAACTAAGAACAACATTTTATGAGGATAAAATTGCAAGATAACAGTTTTAACTTCACTCCTTAAAAAAGCAACTTACCAGGCAGTTCTGCCTCCCAAGGTAGATGGCAGAGTTCCTATCAGAAGATAAATTCCCATGCCATTCCCTCCCACTCACAAATATTGATGGGGGAGCACCTCACCCAAGAGACTGACGGGGCTCAAGGAAACACTCAGTTACTAGCTGCTGTCAGGCACTCTGCTGGCGTGCTGGGCAGGGACTCTGTTTAGTGAAGTGCCCCGATGACATTTTAGACGTAAAGGAAAGTACCATGGCTTTGCGTCATAAGGCAAAGAGCTGAGCTGCTCTTCCTAACATGAACAAGACTTCTAGGGGTTGGGGCTGCCAAAAGAAGAAGAAGGACCAGGTAAGATGATGCGGAAGGCTGGAATCCTCTAAGAAGGATAATTGGAAAGACATTAGATACTAAAAATTATTAGAAAAAAATAAATAAATAAAAATAAAAATAAAAATTATTAGATATTAGGAAATATTAGGGCAGCCCGGGTGGCTCAGTGGTTTAGCGCCTGCCTTCATCCCAGGGTGTGACCCTGGAGACCCCGGATCGAGTCCCCTGCATGGAGCCTGCTTCTCCCTCCACCTGTGCCTCTGCCTCTCTCTCTGTCTCCTCTCTGTGTATTCTCATGAATAAAAAAAAAAAGAAAAAAAAAGATAGGTACTATTTTAAAAAAAAAAAGGAAATATTAGAAAGATAGCTAAAGAGAAGTGCCCAGTGACAGAAACAACCAAAGGACTTCTAAGAAGATGGATATGTTTTATAATGTTAACAGATGAGGCTCAGAGAGGTTAAGTGACTTGCTCCAGGCCACATAGGAAGCTATTCAAACCTAAGCTTGCCCAACTCCAGAACACAGGCTTGAAGTTTACGCTATCAGCCTCAGGATCGAAATTTTAATATATTCTACTTTGCACCCGTGAGTAATATTGTACCCTCTTGTCCTGTGTTGCTTAAATGGAATAAATAGGTGTATTTTTTTTTAAAGACCACAAATATGAGCAGCCCTGGTGGCTCAGCAGGTTTAGCGCCGCCTCCAGCCCAGGGCGTGATCCCGGAGACCCAGGATCGAGTCCCACATCAGGCTCCTTGCATGGAGCCTGCTTCTCCCTCTGCCTGTGTCTCTGCCTCTCTCTCTCTCTGTGTGTCTCTATAAATAAATAAATAAAATGTTAAAAAAAAAAGACCACAAATGTACAACTTTCCCTATAATGACACAAGTTTAAATCCTGCATGTGTACACAGGAATGAAGGAAACTTCTTTCTGAGGGCGTCCAAGCCAAGAGAAGTTAGCATGGCAACGTAAGTTAACAGTGTGTTAAAATATGGAATATAGAGGAGCCTCTGAACAGCTTAAAAATCATGTTTTAAAGGGCATCCACCCAGGTCAGCAACTAAAGGATAACTAAACCTATGGATCTGATAGACCCTGTATAGCCTATGTCAGCTTAAAGGTTTTGTTTCTGGGTGATTTTCACACCCTTAATTTATTCTTGTCATATTAGAACACATGAAGCCCTAAAAAGGTGGTTTCCCTCACTCCCTCCACCTCAAAGCCCTGCCCTGGCTTTTTGTGTTAGAATCACTAGCACCACAGGAAGAAAGGTGGTTTATATTCACCAAACTGTCAAAAGAGTGTCCGAGGAGAAGGTTTTAAGGGATGAAGTCAGGATAATTTGACTTTCTACCCTATGCTTGTCTATATTATTTGCGTTTTCCCAATGGATATAAATGATATTAGTCATCTAAAAAGTTAAATGAGGGATCCCTGGGTGGCGCAGCGGTTTGGCGCCTGCCTTTGGCCCAGGGCGCGATCCTGGAGACCCGGGATCGAATCCCGCGTCGGGCTCCCGGTGCATGGAGCCTGCTTCTCCCTCTGCCTGTCTCTGCGCCTCTCTCTCTCTCTCTATCATAAATAAATTTAAAAAAATAAAAAATAAAAAATAAAAAGTTAAATGAAACAACAACAAAAAACTAAATATGGTACCACTTTAGAAAAAGACGAAAGAAAAGAAAGAAAGAAAGAAAGAAGAAAAGAAAAGAAAAGAAAAAAGAGAAGAGAAAAGAAAAGAAAAGAGAAAGAAGAAAGAAAGAGACTCAGTCCAAACTGTGGGAATCTCTAAATTGGGTGGCTCTGGGCTGTAATTAAATCTTGCTTCTTTTACATTAGTAGAAACTCCATTCTAAAAGAGAAAAAATGCTTTTAGTCTCTTACAAGTTTGTTTGAAATGCTAACATAGCAATCAGTGCTCTCCAACTA